CGTGGTCTCCATGGTTGCCTCGGTGGCCTTGTGGCTGTGCYGAGGACACGTCTCCCCTATCAGTCAGCTTCTCCAGAGCAGCAGAACTACGGGGCTGTGTGTATGTYGAGAGGGATTAATGTGAGCAGTTGGTTCCCCTGAGGTGGAGACGTGGCTGGCAGCCGGGAGACCAGCATGGCGGTGTGGAGGAAGCCCCAGGCAGCTGGCTGAGGAGTCCCATTGCTCTGGGAGGCAGAACTTTTTGTTCTATTTGGATTTTCAACTGATTGGATGAGGCCCACCCTCGTTATAGAAGGAAGTCCACTTACTCAGAGTGAAACGTTAATCCCATCTAAAGACCCTCTAAGTGGACATCAAATCAATCCTCACCTCCCTGGGCATCCTTCACATGGTATTCTATGTCCTCACACTCTGCTCATTGAGACTGGGACCTGACTGGCCTTGGGCCTCTTTCCTCCGGGCCTGGATTTCCTGGGTCCCCACCACAGATGCAGTGACATCAGGGAAGGCAAAGCTTTAGGCGAAGCTCTTCCCCTCGACCCACGGCAGGGCGACTGGTCTCCAGGAACGGACCGTGGGGAGGATGATCAAACAAACGTGGCCCGGGAGCAGCAAGCCCAGATGTCAATGTCACAGCCCTTCCTGAGGACTTGGGACGTGGCCGTTCATGCACACCAGCTGGACAGGCCAGAGACCACCAGTGGCCAGCATGTCCACGGACAGCCCAGTGGCCGCTGCCCTGACTGTCCACAGCACTCTGAGTGCCAGCTGAGGACCAGCCTGTCACTGGCTGTCCGTTCACGTGATTCTGGAGGCTGGTCCCTTGTTGGGCCCTGGGTGGGCGTGGAACTTGGCCTAGCCTAGGAGAGGGCCACTTTGGGCCTTTAGTGACCTGAGTGTCAAAGGGCTGAGGAGAGAGGGTCATCACAGGGCGCTGGAGTCCAGGGAGTCAGTTACGCTGGGGGAGGTCAAGTGCAGGTGCGGGGGGCCTCATGGCCACACTAAGCAGCCCTGCCTGGGGGACATGGCCACGCAACCACTGTCCCTGGAAACTTCCTTTCAGCCAGGAGGTCAGGCACGCCTGCATCTTCACACCACCCCATGTTTGTGTTGTTCACACTCACACTCACACTCACACACACACACCCCCTCTGTTTGGGTTCAGCCAATCTGAATTGGGTGATGGTCACCAGGAATGGAGGGGGTTCTGATAACAGAGACCCGAATCCCACCCGGAACCCGCCCCAGCCTGGTTTGGKYTGACTCTTCTGGGCCCTGGTTCCTSGCCTTCTCCTSSACCGACCTGCGTGGTCCCTCCCGGTCACACCCACCTTTGGTTAAGGACTTTTATTACCCGTTGAAAACGGCCCTGAGCAGGAGGCAGGACAGAAGCCCCCRCAGGAGCCAGCACCTGGGGCTGCCCAGCTCTGAGCACCCCGAGGACCTGGAGTCCCTGGACTTGTGTTTCAGGGTGGACCTCGTGTGCTCGGTGTCAAAGGGCCTCCCCTCCGCCTGGGTGACGTTCTTGATCCAGGGCTGGTAGTTGGCCAGCGAGGTGTATATTCCYGGGGTGTTCTTCTGCCCACAGCTCCTGCCCCAGCTGATGATGCCCACCTGGTACCACTTCTGGCTTCCTTCGGTCGTGCAGACCAGGGGCCCCCCGCTGTCGCCCTGCAGGCAGAGAACAGAGTTCATGGCSGGTCCTGTTCTAAGCTGCCCGCGGAGGCTGGACTCAGCTTGTTCAGGGGAAGGGGCTTCCCTGGCTCCTGACTCCAGGCTGCCAAAGGCATCCCATCCATGCTCCCCTGGGGGGCGCCCTGCGGTCAGCCAGGAGCTGTGGGGAGAGGCAYGCATGGCCAGGCAGGGCAGAGCCAGGGCAGTGGTCAGTGAGAAGAGCSAGGAGCGCGCCTCTGCAGCCCAGAGAGGGGCGGGAAGGAGGCAGAGCGGGAGGGAGGCCAGTGTTGAGGATTCTCAGATCAGAGGCTCTGGAGAGGGAGAAGAGGAAGTGGGCGCGAGAGGCGTCGTCAGCGGCACCACGAGTGCTCTGCTCTGGCGTCCTCCAGAGCTGTGGAGAGGACGGCATTCCCTTGAACACTCTGGAGTGGTGCTGGGGGGCACAGGAGCTAAGTCTCCCTGGATGCGCTGCCCCCGCTGCGGGTCTGTGACTTGCTGTGCCCACACACGCYGCAGGTGTGCCCAGTACCCACTGAGGACCTCGTGTACACATGGCTCCCTCTCACCCCTTCTCCTGGAGGACCAGCCTGGAGGAGGAGAAAGTGCTGGCTGAGGGTCACCTGGCCAGAGCCGGAAGCCAGGGTCTCCTGATGCCAACGCCCCGGCCCCCCAATTGTATCCTTCTGTCACACACTGCYGGTGGCCTTTCCTCAGTCCCGCGGGCTGGCTGGACAGTGCAGCAAGGGATGGACTCCGCCGGGCAGGAGCCTCCTGCTGAGCTGTACGTGTGGCCTGGCTCTGTGGCTGCCTCTCGTCAGCCCCACGGCCTCCTCTTGGTGAGCAGGACGTTCGAGGGCCACGAGAAGGCTGACCTCTGCTGGACAGACCCTCACCGAGGAAACGCGACATGCCTGGTCTGGGGGTCCGGGACCTCCTGGCCCAGCAGAGAAGATGCACTTGTGGGCCCGCAGGAGACTCGTGTGGTGTGAGACACAAGAGGGAGCAGGCACCGAGGGGCGCACTCTGGCTCTGGGAGGGCGAGGGCAGGACAACTGGGGAGAGGTGACTCGCAGGACACCCAGCGGCTTGACGGGCTGGGCGGGGTGGCTGGAGGGGGCTCAGGCAGAGGGCGGTAAGAGGAGGTGAAATATGAGGGTCCAAACCAGGGCAGGTCACGTGGGGGACGGGCAGGAGACACCACCAGGTGTCTGGCCCCAGATGGACACTGGACGTAGGCTGTGACTCATTCAGGGTCAGAGGCTGCAGGTGACAACGTACAGGGGAAGGTCAGGAGTAAACGTGTCCCTGTGGAACTCGGTCTTGCTGCAGAAGCCTCACTGGGCAGGGGACGTGCAGCCCCTCACTGTGACTCCACAGAGTCGGGGGTCATGASTGCCTGAAGACAGCCAGCAACTTGGGCCCAAACCAAGTGGCCTTCTCCAGGACAGAGTGTCCCCCTGGCACCTGCCTCTTGCCCCGGTGCTGGCTGGTGAGTTACAGGGCAGAACCCGCTCAACAGCTTCTATTCCARTCGCTCCTTCTGCAAATGTTGTCTTCAGTGATCTTCTTTGTTTTATGAAGGATACGGGTGGAACGATGTTGTGGGTTACTTATTTCCTTACAYAACAGGGTGAGGGTGTCCTGGGCAGGAAACTCCACTCTTGAGCTTCCATGTCCATCATCTTGTAGGAACGGAGAGACGCCCGCCTGCTCTCTAGGACGGTGGCCCGTGAACTGCAAAAACCTGTGAATCKCTGGGACGAGCCTGTTGCTCTGTGCGTTGCCCACCAGTTGCCTTCAGGGAACAGTTGTCCCTTCCTGGTGGCTGGGCCCAGGGGTGTCCGTAAGTGGACGTCCTTCTATGTTGGTTTTTTCCCTTCCTCTTGGGAAGCAAGCAGCACCAGAGGAGCCACAGAGAGGGCCTCCCTGCAGGGCTCAGCCTGTAGCCGGGGTCTCTGCTGAGAAACGCTGGCCGAGAGCTTCCCGAGTTTGCCACCAGGAGGTGAAGGTCCCACTGCTGTCCTGTTTGGCGTAGAAGCAGGTGACCGGGCTGCGGCCTGGCCTCTTCACTGATGCGGACTTTGGGAAAACCACTTAGATTCTGAATCCCTGTTCTTTCACCTTCCAGCCACCTCACGGAGCCCAGGGAAGACACAATTGCTGCTAAGGTGCCCAAGAGCTTTAAGTGACCGCAGGTCTGTCCAGGTGGTCAAGGGAGGCATGAGTGATCACGATACCCACGTTTTCTCATCTGTRAAACGGCCTTCTGGTTAACTCCTTCTCGGCTCCAAACGCCCGTGGTTCTGAAGGCCTGAGCGTCTGCAGAGTGAGAGACGAGGTGGGATGCAGCCTGGAGAGCAGCCCAGCTCTCAGCCGGGCTCCACGGCAGCCCCACAACCAGACGGGCCCACGCCCAGCGCTGCCCCCTCGGACCCCTCCTCCACCGGCAGACTCCAGGGCCCTTCGGGGCTCCCCAGGGGACCTCTCCTCAGGGCGATGTGACTGATGGTTCTGACAGCACCAGCCGGCAGCTGGGCCTATCTGACAAACATTTCTTGGGCATTTGTCATGGGCAGAGCACGGGGCGCGGCCCTGGGAATTCACCCCTGAATAGACAGGTGTGTGCGGGGCGGGGAGCGGGCAGGAGCCGAGAGCTGGGCTCACCGGGATGGCTGCTGCCCAGGAGACGCCACCGAGGCTTCATCTTCTTAGCTGGGGAGAAGTTCCAGTTGATATTTTGCTTGATTGTGCCACTTTAAAATTATTTTTAAAAGTTGGGCATTTTGAGATAATTGAAGACTTTATTGCAAGAAGTAATGCAGAGATTCCCCAACCCTCAGTTTCCCCAGGACTATCTGGCAAAGCGGTAGAGCCTGATGGGTACCGTCAAGAGGCAGGACTTCTCTGTGCTGAGGAGGCTTCTGCTGCCCTCGGTAGCCCCGCGCCCACTGCCCCCCTCCCACAGCCAGCCCCGCCTTGCAGCCACCAACACCAGCTTCCCGCTGGACTTAGTGGGCAGGATCCAAGGAGGTTACTTGCTCCACTGTATCTGGGTCCCGGTCCTTTGTCCTCTTAGGTTTGGTGATCTTGTACATCATCCAGGACCGGAAGGGAACAGGGCGCRCTAGGCCTTCAGTCTGGCTGTCCCTTGGCTGCCCCTTTGGTCCTCTGCTGGTGGAGTCTCCTCCTCCTGGCACACGCTGCTGGCCTCCACCTCTGCTGAGCTCACAGGCCTCGCTCCTTCCTCTTCTGCCTGCCCAAACCCTGACCCAGCAGACCCTTCCCAAGGTGCTATCTCGTGGTCTACCTGGGGAAACTACCAGTCTCCTCTGTTACCAAGCAACACTAGAGAAGGCTGTCCTTCCACCAGCTGTCTGTCTGTCCTTCACTACTTGGAAGGGTTACATCTGCACCTGGAGATTTGCACCCAGACCAAAGCCAGCACCTGGCTTGCAGGTGGGCCTTAATGGGCTCATCAGCGGGAGCCCCCCAGGACAAATAGAGGGTCTTTGAGCTTTAAACACAACTCTGGTCACTCCTTGGAGCCAGAGGGAGCTATGCTCCAAATGTTTTTGTTTTTGTTTTCCATTTTTCATTATCCTCAACATCAACATCAGTCCAGTGTGTTTTTCTTTTAAAAGTTTCATGTCCGTTTTATTAAAGAGAACCTAAGAGATCAGACTTTGGTTCACGGTAAGGAAACCTGCATCACCCACTCTATTACTTATTGCTTATTGACCCAACTGTCTGCCCAAGAGGCTAGGGGCAGGCTCATTCCAGCCACCAGGGCCTGGCGTGCTCGGTAGAGGTTGCTAAATGATGAACGATGATGACTCCTGGTATGGGCCTCAAATTCTCCTTGACTTTGTCTTTTTAGGAATTTCTACAAGTGGAAGCCTTGGGGTCCCAGGTACCTAGCGTCCACTCCATGTCTGCACTCGCACAGCCAAAGGCCCTGACCCCCAAGCATTTCCCAGACCCTCAGCTGCCTCTTCCCAGCAGAGAGAGGGTACCCTTGCATGGCAGCCCCCCGGGGTGGGGGCCTGTAAGTGGAGGGGCGGGGCCTWGGTTACCTGGCAGGCATCGTAGCTCTCGTTCATGAATCCTGCGCACAGCATATTTTTGGTAAGTTTTGTAAACGTTTTTGCACATTCATTCCAATCTATGATGACCATTGGCACTTTCAACAGATCGGTTTTCATAGACCCTTTGTCAGCTGCCCAGGGAGAGAGCATGTTAGAAAAGTCACCAGGCAGCAGACGTTGCCACGGCCGGCAGTGCCCTAGAGACCGCCAGCCCCACCCACCATCCCGCATGCTGCTCATGCCCTGGCCATCCACCTTCTTCAGGTCATCTGTGCCCAAAGGGGATCCTGCCCAAGCTCTCCCAAGAGACCACCACCTGCTGGGATCATTCATCTGATGGCCAAACTTCTAGCCCTGCTCCAGCCAGCCCGYGAGCTCGACATCTGGGGAACGGGCCAGTGGACAGCCCAGCATGGTCCTGCCTCTTCCACTTGCTGTCCTGTTACCAGTTTGTCATGTGGGCACAGCGCTTTCCTCCCACAGGGCCGCGGACGGCAATTTGCACCCCATAAAGAAACATTAGGCCTCAGGCGTGGAGAGGGCGCTAAGTCTTCAGAGGGTTTAGAGGGCGCTTGAGCCCCGGGCCTCCAGGATTCCTGGGCTCCTTCTCCTTCACGCTGACCACACATGCATCTCATGATTCCTCCCCTCACCCAGCKTTCCTCATGCCATGTGCCCTTCTCTGCTCTCCTTCCTCGGTCCCTGCCCTCCTCCTGCCACCCCGTGGGGCCCTGGCCTGAGCAGCTCTTCAGGACGCCAGGCAGTCACGCACCTGAAGTGGTCTGGCCCCACCCTGCCACCCAGCACTTGTGCCACTTGGAAGGCATGGGCTCTGGGGGCATGCAGATGGGCACTATCAGGCTACTGAACTCAATGGGCGAGGCCACCATCAGCAAGGCGATGTCGTTGTCCATGCTTTGWCTCTTAAATTTATTGTGATAAACTATGCTGCTGACCGGCTTTATTTCCAGACGTGGGCTGGTCAAGTCGTTGCTCCCCAGCACGACACTCAGTTCCTCTGTGCTGGTGACATAGAACCAGAGAGGGGAGGGGAAGGAGGGTCACAAAAGCACACAGAGCTCACTGTGCCCCAAATACCAGTCCTCATAGAGTTTTGGGGGCCTTTAAGATGGACCTTTTGTTGCTCAGAAAGTTTGAGGATTTAGAAACTAAAGAGAGGACAGAATCGTCAGAGAACAGACCCCAGTCCTCAGGGGTCCTGAGGTTGAATGTGACCCTTGCATGCAACAGAGCAGAGGCAGGGCTCCRTTTGGAGCACTCTAAAGAGCCCACAAAGGACTAGTTGGCCCAGGCCAAGCCAGTCTTCAGACAGGTAAGGCCTGGTGACATGTGCCAATGACTGCACATTCTGCTCACGTCCGTGGTTCCAACAACCATTTAGAGACTTAGGAGCTGAGTTTAATTTGACCTTCCACTGGCCAAGCTGAAAAGACCCTGAGTAATCAGACAGCAGGCAGGGCCCCTCCAGGCAGATGGCCAAGAACTTTCTGGGAGCCAGCTTTGAAGTGCCCCCCAAGAKCAGGTGCTGCAGTGTACTCGGCTTTGCCCAGAGGAAACGTTGCACGCGGTTTCACGGGGTTTACCCAGATCTGTCAGCCTTTCTGGGTACCTTCCAAAGCTCTTGAGGTGGTGAAGCAGGGTGCCCAAGTGCCGGAGCATTCAGGACTGCCTTCCACTGTGAGCTGTGGTCCCTGGCGGGGTCACATAGCTTTATTGGACCTCAGTTTCCTTATCTATAAAATATTCTGCCTGCCTCAGAGGGTCATGTACAGGTAAGTAATTTAATACAGGTAAAGTCTTAATGGGGTCCCGGAGCATGGTTCATGATCAGGAAATGCCAGCAGTCAACCGTCAGCTGAGCAGAGAGCACCCTACAAGGAGCAGGAAGGAGGCACTCAGGTGGCCAGAGACCAGACGTCCAGGATTTCCAAGAAGCACTTGGATGTCCTAGGATAGGTGGATGGACTGAGCGCTCCACCTCCCTAGGCCACAGGTGTGCCTGGAAAGGACAGCGTGTGACTTTGCAGCACAGAGCCACTGGCCCTGGCTCAGCTTGGGGTCCACTGTGCAGTGCCCACAGGCTGGAGGGCGGACATTCATGTCTGCATCAGGATACAGTGGTGCCAGGACCCCTTCGCTGTCAGGTCTGGCGGCTGCCTGGGGCTGGCCCTGGGTACTTACGGTAACTCGCCGATCACGCAGTGAGCAGCTGTGAGGATCCACCACGAGTTGAGGATGGTGCCGCCACAGAAATGTTGATTCGTTGCCTGGATACTCACCTGCCACGGAAACTCACCCACCTCAGCCTCCAGCCCCCCGACGATTCTGGAATACCGCATCTTCCGGTCCTCGAAAGTGGGCCTCTCGCCACATCCTGCTGGGATGGAAGAGAGCAGGAGGGAAACATGAAACACCTTGTCACCTCCACATGGGCCAGGTGTGCTGGGGGAGACGCTCGCAGACAGATCTCCCTGGCCCTGTCCTGGAGATGAGGACACTGGGCCGGCCCCCGAGGCTCCGGTGTGACAGGAGCAAGCTGACAGGCTCTTTTCCGTTGAGCAGAGCTCAGGATGTGGTCCAGAACATTGGCTCTGACTCTGCCAGCTCCGGGGTGTCAGGCAACCACGTCTGCCCAGAGAAATTGGAGGAAATAATGTCCAAAGTCAACCCCACAGGACCCCTCAAAGACACCCCAGTCCTCCAGGGCCGTAATCTGGGCCTCCCTGACGAGTTGGCTAATTACAAGCCCGTGTCCGGCTCTTTCCTGCCCCTAATGCTCACTGGGACTGGATGAGGAGGTGAGCAGGGCACTAGTCCCCACCCCAGTGCCCGCTGGGTCGGCTGCTCTGGCCCGGGGGAGGAGCCCACATACCTGGGTCCGCCCCCGTGGCGTGGGTAATGAGCAGCACAACTGAGAAGAGAAGCATGGGCCTGGGCGGGCTGTGGGCTGGGAGGTGGAGGAGGCCAGGCGGGGGGCGGTGGCGCTGGCCGTGGGGAACCAGCCCTGCTGGCGACGTCACAATGGGCTGAGGCTGAGGTCAGGAGCTTCTGGCTACCTGTTTGGGTTCTAAAGTGGTTCACAGAGGGCTCTCTGGTCTGAGCCTCCCTCCCAGCCCTCTGGGCTCCCTGCTGACCTGGWGTCCTACCTCCCCCAGCCCACCCTGGGCACTTTGGGCCATCACACCCCATCCTTCTTTAAGGCTCCCAGGCTTCCCCTCCACGAGCCTGTCAGTGGGCCCCTGGTGGAGGCCAGGTAAGCCCTGCCGGCTGGGCCTCTCCAGCACGAGGCCTGCGGGGTCCAGTGACCCTCTTCCTTCGTGCTCAGGAMTCTGGCCAGCGCCCAGGCTGGGCCTCATGCTGGTGCAGGGTGCCTGTCTCCTCCAGACCCACCCAGAGAGCAACACCCCCTGCCCCCAGCACTTGGTGGTTTATTCCACAAGAAGCTGAAGCAGAGTGTGACCAGGGTGGAGTGCCACTGGGTTTGAACTCAGTGACTGCAGGACTGTTACCCAGAGTGATCAGAGAAGCCTCAGTCCAGCCGGACCTCAGAGGAGCCAGGAGTCCAAGTGAAGAGGGAAACAGCACTCCGTGGCTGGGTCTTCCTAGGAGTTGCTTAATTGCTGGTCTCTGTGAGACTGTTGTTTCAACACTGGCTTAAACTGTAACATTTCTATGCTATAATTCACACCCTGGGGAGTGTATTCTCCTGTGACCTTGAGAAACACCTCCCTATGACAAAGGCCACTTCCTGACATCCCTTGCAGATTCTCCTCTGCTTTTATTCTGCTTCAATAAATAAGAATTTCTGCTAGTGGTCTGTGGTCATGTGGCCCAAGAATCAAACCTGCCAATACTGTCCTAGGCAAGGAATGACATCAGATTTCCTCTGAAAGCCCCATGTGACCTCAGCTCCGGGCCCAGAACTTCAGAGCCCACCACTGGCTCATCTGGATCCAGCGGCGCCATAAACCTGAGTTCTCCAACCCTCGAGTGGTGCTGGGTCTCTTGCTGAGCACGATTTCCACCGCACAAGCCGACCTGGGCAGGACAAACTATCTTACTGGGTGGCAAAGGTCAGCAGGAGATGACCCGGCCGGGTCTGATCACGGTGCGACGCCCATCCGCTGTCCCCATCCCTGCCCTGCCACCGCCTGGGAAGGGTCTGACTTGCAGCTAGCGGTTTGCTGAGTAGCACTGTGGCAGCCTGCCGAGCTGTGCCCCACCCAACACAGCCGAGTGTCACTGTCTCAGGGGCTCCTCCTGGTCCCCAGCAGGGGTTCTCGTGATAGTCACAGTCAGTGGCTATAACGGCTTCTCGCTGAGCTCGGGACTGGACGCAAATCTCGTCCAACAGAGCAGGCTGGGCAGAGCCGACAAGAGGAAAAGCCCTTGCCCTCGCCTTGGTCTAGTGGAAGAGACAGAAAATGAATCCGTACTGAGGACCGATTCTCCCTCGGTGTCCGCACACCCTGGCCCTGGGCCTCTCCTCCATCTCGTGTCCTCAGAGACAGATGACTGTCCAGTTCATGCTGCTCTGACAGTGTCTGCTCACTGTCCGGCACAGCCGGCGGCCACCTCTGTCTCGGCCTCTCCCTTCTCTCCCCATCCCACTGTTTCCGACCTCAGGCCAACAGCGTCTCTTCTTAGCTGCATCATGAGAGCCAGGTTGTCACCACATGATATTCTCCTTTCTCATTTCACCCTCCCTAACATCCTCCTCAAGTTATGCCCAATCTTTTAATGCAAGCTCCACCAAACAACCCCCTTTCATTCTATCCCTTCCCCTCCACTGAACCTCAGTTGAGGCTGAGATCCCCTAACAAGGTGTATTGGCATTTGACACCTGGTTTCAGAGAATATAAAAACTTGTCCAACGACCCAAAGCTCTTTACTATCACAGCACAGAGCAGAACCCATGGCTCCTTAAGTTGATCAGAATCGGGGGGCGAGAGAAGGGAGCACGCAGATGAATTTGGCCCCACTTGGCCTCCTGGGGCTCTCCTCCAGCCCCTGCTGGGGAGGGAGCGCTGGACAGGGGAGCAGGGGGCTGGGCTGAGCCCAACTGACCCGCACCTGAACCTGCTGCCTCCACCCTAGCCCAGTGTTTACTGTGACGTCACCAGGGTCAGCTCTGCCATGCATTTGTGATGCCCACTTGCAGCTGCCACCGCTGACTTGGATCAGCCTGGCCTGGAGGTGAAGTTGGATAGTTCTGGACTGGAATGACAAGAAGATGCTCCAGCTTCTAACAGCACTGCTCATGGCACTCCAGGGACATGCCCAGGACGAGTCAGGTGGGTGCCAGGCTGGCCCCAAGCAGAGGGGGTGGGAAGGCACTGAGCCCGAGCCTGCTGCTGAGGAAACAAGGAGACTGTACTGACCCATCACAACGTTGTAGCCAGCTGGATGAAGACACCGCCTACTGGCACCCCCAGGCACCGGCCCAGGGTACAGAAGCGGAGGGGAGGAGAGCTAGAATCCAGCATCTGCCTGGGTGTCTCAGAGCTCTGTCTTGAGCACTAGGATGCTTCAGGATACCCTAGGAGGAGGGGCCATGGAATAGGCCCTATTTAATTTAGGACACCTGTGTTAGGCAGTCTCATTAAATGGGGGCCTTAGAAGGCCATCATGGGTTAATTCAGTTCGTGAGTTAAAGAAGTTTGTTCTGTCCCTCAGGCCTGTGACAAACTCTGTAGGAAAAAGTTCTATGGTTAGATGAGAATTTGGAACGTTCCGTTCCACGTTCTTCCTGKAGAACCCAGTGGCTCTCCACATACTAATGGTTCTGACACGCCTTAGGGTGGACAGCCGGCTTCATTTTACTTAATCTGGCATTTCTGAGATGTATCTGACCATAGACCCCCCTCCCCTGCAGGCCCACCGCAGCCTGAAGACCACTCCCTGGTTTCTTTCTAACATTTTCTACTTTTTCTTTAGAGAGTCGCCTGTCCCTTAGTGCTTTGTGATTCTCTTATTCAGGGGAGTTTCTAAAGTTGATTKGCAGGACCCTATTGAGCTGTAGTGACATTAACCCTTTGTCTCTTACCTGTGTCATGAACTCGTTCCTCCTAACTCTTCAGTGCTCTTCCCACTTATTTTGGACCGAACACAAATTTAAGTTTATGAAAACTTTATTGATATTTTTCACTACCGTTCTTGGGTTTTATTTCATGCATCAGAAGGGATTTTGGTCCCAAGCTCACAAGTGCAATCAGCACTCTGGGCTCTGCGGTCAGACTGGGCTCTACCCACTGGGGACAACTGGCTTACTGGCTCTGTGGTCCTGTTTCCCCACCTGTAAAATGGGCACATGAGGGTCCCTGTGGGGAGAGAATCTGCAGAAAGCTCTGAGAGCAGGCCTGGCTCTGTCAGGGCTSAAAACCCTTAGCTCTTATTCCAGAGTTCTGTGACTTCACTTCTTTTTAAAAAAAWTTTTTWWWAATTCTAATTTGTTATATATGACAGCAGAATGCATTACAGTTCATATTACACGTATAGAGCACAATTTTCATATCTCTGGATGTATATGAAGTATATTCACACCATTCGTGTCTTCAGAGATATTGGTCTGAAGTTTTCTTTCTTTAATGTATCTTTGCCTGGTTTTGGAATCAAGGTGATATTGGCCTCATACRATGAGTTGGAAGTGCTCCCTCTTTTTCTATATCACAAAATAATTTGTAGAGTATTGGTATGAGCTCTTCTTTATAGGTCTTGTAGAACTCGGCTGTGTATCCATCTGGTGCTGGGCTTTTCTTTGTCAGTAGGTTTCTGATGGTGTCTTCTATTTTCTTGCTTGAAATTGATCTGTTGAAATTGTGTATATCATCCTGATTCAATTTGGCCAACTCACATGCCTCTAGAAATTTGTTGATGCCTTCAATATTCTCTATTTTATTAGAGTAAAAGTTTTCAAAATAATTTCTAATTATCTTTTGTATTTCTGTAGTGTCTGTTGTGATATTTCCTTTTTCATCACGTGTGTTAGTTATTTGAGTTTTCTCTCTCCTCTTTGTTAGGATGGCTAAAGGTTTGTCAATTTTATTTAATTTTTTTGAAGAACCAACTTTTTGTTTTGTCAACTTTTTTCAAATGTTTCTTTTGTTTCAATTTCATTGATTTCAGCTCTGATTTTAATTGCTTTCTGTTTTCTGCTGCTTTTGGTGTTCATTTGTCCTTCTTTTTCTAGGGCTTTGAGATGTAATGTTAGGTCATTTATTTGTTGACTTTTTCTTCTTTGAAGAAATGAACTCCATGCAATGAACTTTCCTCTCAGTACTGTCTTCATAGAGTTCCAGAGATTTCGATATGTTATATTAGTGTTCTCATTTTACCTCTATTTTTAATCTCTTCCTTGATATCTTCTACAACCCATTGTTCATTCAGTAGCACATTATTTAGTCTCCAGGTGTAGGAGTAGTTTTTATTTTATCATTGATTCTAATTTCATTCCATTGTTTTCTGATATAATGTTGGGTAGTATCTCTACTTTTTTGCATTTGTTAAGAATTGCTTTGTGGCATAATATGTGGTCTACTTTAGAGAAGAATCCACCAGCTGCTGAGAAGAAAGTGTGTTCACTTGTTGAAGGATGAAAATCAGTTAAGTCTAAGTTATTRATTGCATTATTGAGTTCTATAAGTTTTTTTGTTCAGCTTTTGTTTGSAAGATCTATCCAGTGGTGAAAGAGGTGTTTTAAAGTCACCCAAAATTAGTGTGTTGTGGTCTATTTGACTCTTGAACTTGAGAAGAGTTTGTTTGATGAACACAGCTGCTCCATTGTTTGGGGGATATATATATATATATCTTAACAAATATATATATATAACTCTTGTTGGTGTATGGATCACTTGAGCAGTATGAAATGTCCTTCTTTGTCCTTTTTGATTAACTTTAGCTTAAAGTCTACTTTATTTGATACGAGGAT